GCGTCGAGTCGCTTGAAACCGAACTACAGTCGACAAAGCGCAAGCTCAATGACGAAGTGGAGGAATCTAAGAAGGCTAGCATGCGCCGGGAGTATGAGCAGGAGACATCACAAAAACGAATCGATGATCTGGTCACCAGCTTGGGTGCAGTCCGCGAAGAGCTAGTTGCCGCTAAGACCACCCGGGATCACCTGCAGTCCCGTGTGGATGAGCTTGCAGTTGAGCTCAAGAGTGCCGAAGAGCGTCTGCAGGTACTGAACTCGAGACCAAGCGTGTCCGCCGGTACCACCGAGGGACTCACTGCGGGAGAGGAGTCTGCTGAAGGAAGCGGTCTTTCTCGCGAGCAGGAACTTTCAATTGAAATTTCCGAACTGAAACGCGACCTGGAATTGGCCAAGGGTGAACTGGAACACGCTAAGCAATTGGCTGAAGACTACCAGGCAATCAGCCAAGCGAGTGAAGAACGTCTGGAGTCTGCTACCGAGACACAGGAGCAATACCGTGAAGAGACCGATCGTCTTGTGGAGGAGAAGAACACTAAGATTCAAGACCTTGAAACTCGCATTGAAGAGATCTCAGCTGAACTGTCCGCCTCCAACACTGAGATGACCAATCTCCGCGAAGAGCAAGTGGAGGCAATGCGCCGCCTAGAAGAGCAGAAGGCCAACTTCGAGTCGGAAATCACTCGTCTTAAGGCTGACAATGAACGCCATGTTACTGCTGCACAGTACCACCAGGAGGACCTGAATGCGCAGGCCGAAATCGCCAAGCATGCCCAACAGAACTACGAGACCGAGCTTGTTAAGCACGCCGAGGCAGCGAAGAATCTCCAGGTCGTTCGTGCAGAGAGCAACCAGCTCAAGCTCGACATCGCTCAATTGCGAACTCAATCCGAAGGCTACAAAACGGATCTGTCTCAGAAGGAGGAAAGTTGGGCGGAGCAACGGGCCACCTACGAGGGTGAGCTCTCTGAACTGCAAAAGCGTCGGGAGGAGGTTATTCACCAGAATTCCGTGCTTCACACCCAGCTTGAGAATATCACTAGCCAGATCTCGTCCTTGCAGCGTGACCGAATGAATGTTTCGGACGATGAGCAAGAGGGAGAGCAGGCGGCACCCAACCTCGAGGGCCTCCAGGAGGTTATCAAGTTCTTGCGTCGCGAAAAAGAAATTGTCGAAGTTCAATACCATCTTTCGACCCAGGAGAGCAAGCGACTCAACCAGCAACTCGATTACACTCAATCTCAGCTTGATGAGACCCGTCTGAAGCTTGAGCAACAGCGCCGTGCTGCGGCTGACAGCGATCACAACGCGTTGAACCACAACAAGCTGTTGGAGACTATCAATGAGCTCAACGTTTTCCGCGAAAGCAACGCTACTCTCAGAAACCAACTGAAGCAAACTGAGGCCGTGCGCGATCAAAAGATCGCCCGCGAGAATGAGCTGGTCCAGGAGATCGAACCCCTCAAGACCCGAATCCACGAGTTGGAGAGCCAGAGTGAAGCCAAGGATGGAGAAATGCAGCTTCTACAGGCTGATCGCGACCGATACCAACAGCGTATTCAGAACATCCTTCAAAAGTACGACCGTGTCGATCCCACTGAAATGCAAGAGCTGAAGGAAAAGCTCACCAACCTCGAGAACGAAAAGACCGAGGCTGTGTCCGCGCGGGAAGCTCTCCAGACCCAGATGGAGGCACTTCAGGCTCAAATCGCGGAATTCCCAGAGCAGCTCAAGCAGCATTCCGATGAACGTGCGCACGAATTGCGATCTAAGCTCACAGAGCAATTCAAGGCACGCTCTAAGGATCTTAGCGCTCGTGTCAAGGCCAAGCAAGACGAGCTTAATGTGGTATTGCAGGAGAAGGAGGTCATCCAAGCCGAACTTCAGACTACAAAGAACGAATTGGAGGCATTGAAGATCAAGGCGGCAGAGGCGCCAGCCAATATGGCACCTACTCCAGCACCAGCACCAGCTGTATCTACAGCTGCAGGCGAAGAAGCCCCCGTCAACGCTACTCCGGCTTCACAATTCCCAACTGCGACCGTCACAGTCCCTGGTCCTGGTGACGCTCAAAAGATACAAGAGCTTGAGCAGAAGATCCAGCGGCTCGAGGCAGCTCTTGCCGAGAAGGATGGACTGCTGGCAACACAAGCTAGCGAACAAGATGCTAAGATCAAGGAACGCACCGACCGCCTTAAGGATATGTACAATACTAAGCTGAACGAGGTCAAGGCTGCTCATCGTCAAGAACTTGAGAAAATTTCCGCCAGTGAGCAAACCATTCCTGGAACACCAGGTGCTGGCCCAGATGCAACCCCTGCAACACCGTCAAAGACGTTTGAGCTTGCCGGGTTTACCATTCCCGAGTTGACAGATGCTCAAGCAAGGGAGTTGGTCGCGAAGCATGAGACTATTCGCACGATTGTTCGTAACAACATTCGTGGTCAAGTGGCGCGCGAGCAACAAAAGTTACAACAAGAAGCCCAAGCCTCCTCCGGTACCAATGAAGCCGCATTGGCTGCACTACAACAAAAGTCGACCGAAGAAAGGGATTCCTTGCTCAAGGCCCATGAGAATGAAATTAAGGAGAAGGTCAACTCAGCGGTCGAACTTGTCGAAAAGAAAACAGCTGCCCGCCTCAGCATGCTTGACACCAGATTCCGGACTGCGAATGCCAAAATTGATGTGGTATCAAAGGCTGCGACGGAAACTCCGCAAAAGCCTGTCGTGGAAGTATGGGAAATTGCGAAGACTGCCCGGCCTGCACCGGTCGCTGTTCCGGCTGCGAAGCCCCCGGTACCAGCAATGCCAGTCCAACCCGCTGGTCCCCCTCCAACTCTAGCGGCGCCACAAGCCCCAGTTACAGCCCCACCGGCGCCCGTCGCTACTACAACCCCTGCTGCTGCCTCTGTTCCTGCCGCTGTCCCTGTGACAGCAGCTCCAAATGTGACAACGCAGCAGGCCGCTCCAGCCACTGCGCCTTCCGAACCTGCTGCCCCCCAGCAAGGCGAGGCACAGTCTACAGCCCCAGCCAATCCGTTCGGGCAAGTTCAGCAACCTGATAAAAACCAGCAGGGCTCTTCTCTCCCCACCAAACCTCCCGCTGGAAACCCCCCTGGTCTAATGCGAGCTCTTCAATCCGGGCTTCCGATTGCACGAGGTGGACGCGGCGGACGTGGTGGTGGCCCCCAATTCGGCCATCAGCAACATGACCAACAGCAGCAGCAAGGTCAAGGTCACGGCCAGAGCCAAAATCAGCGCGGCCCAGGCCTCCAGCGCGGTCGCGGCGGCCGTGGTGGACAAGGTCGCGGTGGTAACCAAAATCAAAACAACGTCGCCCAGGCCCAAAGCCCCACTGCCAACCGTGGGAACCTGAATGCTTCGGCCCGTCAGTTTATTCCCGGGGGCAACAAGCGCTCTCGTGAAGATGGCCCCGATACAACCACCGAGGGTGGAAGCGGTGGAAAGAGACAGAGAGGCGGCGGAGGCCCGCAGCCTCGTGGTGGAGCTTAAGCAGCAATGGTCATTTATGTTTTTCTATTCCATTAATGTATTCTCGATTTCATTGACAAATGCGATGTGGACCCATTCATGGATGGGTATCTACGTCTTCGTATGCCATATGGCGCATTGCCATTCATGTTTTAACCTACTATCCAGAAAGCAGTTTCTTTTCTTTTGTCTTGTATCTACTGAATGTGTGGCGTTCCTACGGGTTTCTATTGCTACTTCCAATTGTTCCAATTAATAGGTTCAATTACAAAGTATCTCGTGCATTGTCATTGTAACTATCCACAATACACTAATTACCGTAAACAAAAACAGGGGTATAAGCTGTTAGAAGACACGAATCTATCCAAGAAAACAAATCTGGTCCGACATAGAAGGACGCGAGTGCAAAACAAGACAAGAAAGCAACTTGGAATCACTTCCTTCTCCCCCCAGTAGCAGGAACAAGCATTCTCCCAAGTACCTCCCTCTCCTTCTGCAAAACCATCAACCTCGCATCCTCAATAAGTTTACCCGCTGGCGCAGGGCCAGGAAGAGGCGTCTGCGCAACCTGCGCCGCACCCACAACAGCCGGACTCATCCCCTTCACACCCCGAGCTCTCTTCCGTCGCATCCCCGGGCCCTGCCCATAGACAACAACCCACTCAGCGACTGACCCGCCAGCGGCAATCTCACACCCAGAACACACTTTCGAGTGCGCACCGATATCTGCACCCCGGCGAATCGTTGCCAGAGCCTCGATCGTAGCAGAAGAATGAACATGAGCGCCTGGCTCGACCGTTGCCAATGGACCAACAGTAACAAAGTATGAGATCCGCGTCGATGTCTCTTTCCTAGACTCGGGTGTCGATGTCCCAGACTCGGTGTATGTTGTGCTTGTTGGTCTGGACGGTGATGGCGAGCGAGATGAGGTTGGCGGAGCGCCGATTACGGCTTTCTCGCAGATTATGCAGCCATCGTCAACGACGATTGGACCTTCGTATGCGTAGAATTTCGCGCGAGGGTGGATGACTGTCCCTGCACCGATGGTGACGGTGTGCCGACCTTGGAAGACGGCGGTGTCGGCGATTGTGGCTGTTGGGTCGGCTTTTAGGGGGGCTTTTGGTGGGCCAGAGCTGTGGGAGGAGGAGGACGAGCGGTGGGTATTTGTTGGAGGTTTGAGGGTCGCCATTTTGGTGGACTGTGTTGGTGTGTTTGGGGAGATTGTTGTATGATAGCATGAGGAGCTCGCATCGCTTTTTGGGGTACGACTCTTAGTCAGCTCCATAAAACACCTCCATGGGATCCATCCATCCATGGATAGATCGAAGTATACCAAGCAGTTTCAAGTTGAGATCTTCTCTTGGTATAGAAGGACTCAGATATAGCATAAGAAAATGTATTCGTCGTGTATTACAAGCCGGGGTATCTAAAATCCAAAACCCAGTCTAAAGCGCAACATCCCCCAATGTAAAATGTAAAGCCCATTGGATGAGGCTGCCATGGATCTCATGATTCCTCCGCGGTCTCTTGCTTGATACCATTGCGCTTTCTCCAAGCTCTAACGCCCCGGTCGACCTCATCCCTGGTAATCCCATCGCGCACCAAGCAAAATGTGACGCCCAACTCCGTCTCCACGTTCCGGTTCCGCGCCTCATCATCGAAGAACAGCATGTCCTCATAAGCAACACCACTCGTCTGTTGGATTTTAGAGAAATGCGACGTCTTATTCCCGGGGTAGATCTGGATAAAATCAAAGTAATCGAGGGCACGGATGGTCTTTGCGTTCGCAGCGGGGTTATCGGAGAAAGTGGGGATGATATGCAAGGATTTGAGCATGTCGCGCGCGAGATCAGGGGTTTGAGTTCGAGATGCAAGGGCCAGCGGAATCGAGCGATGTTTGCAGGCGTAGACTATGGATGAAACCGCCGGATAGAAGGCGAAGGACTCTCCCCAACTATTTGAGATAAGAAATGCGGGGTTAGAAATCGGAGTAGTTTCAAAAGGATCAAATATCAATCAGAGGATTCGTCGTACCGGTCGACTGCGCGCGAGTTGTTGTCACGTGCCTTGACTGGGGCGCTGACATGTGTGTCGACCCAGAACGGCCACAAGGTGTAGTCCAGGTCAAAAGCGATCAATTTTGGGAGTGGGAGACCGTCAGTGAAGGTTTCGGGGGCCACAGAGGAATCCTCCAAAGGCTGAGTGTTTTGGCGCTTGGCTCGGAGCATGTTTGGCACAAAGAATACGCGAAGAAGACACGAAGAATCAAAAGAAGATTTGAAGAAGGAGATGGACCATGGAAGGAATGGAAGATTACCCGGGGTTAGAATGGCACGTGAGGTCCTTTACGGGTAGCGATTGCGACCAGGTAGGGAATATCCCAGACCCACTTATACAGAATGTGCCTAGGCACATAGTGATCTGCAATGTCCAGGATGCGACCTAGTAACAGGCTGGGGAATCATGACAAAGACTACTGTGCGGATCGTATCATCAGTCGGGAACCAGCTGAAGATAACCCCACAGACAGAGGCACGAGACGTGTGTGTTGACATAAAGGTACCCCATAGTAGCAAGGTGAATAAGGGGGCACTGGACAATGACTTTCTTCTCCAAGCACCCGGACAAGCCGAGCAATTGATGAAAAAAGGGATCGCATCAAGCGGGGGTAGTGTGAGCCCAGTGACACAGTGCAAGAGGCGTAGGCATAGAGGCTAGTCGCGAGATCCAGAAATTGGAATAATCAGAACGTCCTGTGGTGGCAGGAGTGTCAGTGATTAAGCTAACAAGAACGGATGCTGCGCTTGATCCAAGCCAAAAGGCAAAGGAAGCTGGAGGGGGCGGGGGAGAAGAAGAGTGTCTCGCAGTCTCGGGGTCGCTTTATCCTCGAACGGATAAACAATAATCCGATGTATATTCGGATAAATAATATTCCGAACTATATTTGTTTCAACATCGAAGACAGAGGCAACAATGGGATAACAACGTGAGCAAGGGAGTATTAGACAACAGATTTCTTCTCCAAGCACCCGGGCAAGCCGAATAATTGATGAAAAAAGAAGTCGCATCAACCGGGGGTAGTGTGAGCCCAGTGACACAGTGCAAGAGGCATATGCAAGCACAGAGGCCAGTCGCGAGGTCCAAATAAAGATATCACACAGCCTGCTAGGTCACCATCCGAAGCTAGGGATAATCGCCACTGGTCAGACTCTGTGAGAAGTAAAGGGGGTGGGGAGAAAAGAAAGGAAGAAAGTTCCGGGGTCGCGGGGTCGCTTTATACTCCCAAGGCGGTCGGCACTTGGTGGCAGTTAAGCTCACGGGTAATGGCGGCGGTGCGGCCCGTCCCGTTCCGAATACCGGATATAGTGGGTAATCTGCCGCGGTGCGGGACATGAGGCGTATGCAAGCACAGAGGCCAGTCGCGAGATCCCGAAATTGGAATAATCGGAACGACCTTTACATACATGTCACTACATATGCCTGGGCATCTTCAGGGTTGTTTCATCGCCATCTCTTTACCTTTGGGCTCCGATCAAGTGTGGTATCCGACTGCAAAGAGATCATGTTAAGGAAACGTCTATCATGTGGGACACGTCGAAGTACATGTGCAATAAAAGTTGATTGAGGAATTGAGAAAGCTAGCTTCCAGTGTAGAATCTGATTTTCTGTAAACACAACCCCGTAGATATCGACTTGACGGCCACAAATAGTAACCCTTCCTTTATTGTTGTTAAGCCTTGATTGTTGAACGAGTTATTGTCTCTAAGAACGGGATCACCGGTTAAAATTGCGCTATGTATGTAGTTTAATCGGGCCTGTTTGCTCTGGCGCTGACCCCGACGGTATAATGTATAATGCAAGACTCGGCCTCTCCTCGACCTTTGTCTTCCGGGTGGCAACGGGACAGGGCTTATGGGACTTGTCAAAGCTGGCGTTATGGGTGAGAACCGCGAAGGTCTTGAGAAGACCCTGGTAAGCGGCGTGAGCGTCGATGAAATGTTTCGAGACGGCTGAATTCAGATGCAGCGAGATTCCAGAACCCTGCCTCAAAATATGCCAACTGGAGATGCTGTTTCGCGCAGCAGAAAGGAAGAGCATGAATCGGTCCTACAGCATCAGGAAATTTGCTTCTTTTCCAAGCAGGATACCCTGTTTTGGGTCAAAGTACTGAAGAAGCATTCAGATCAGCCGGCAAGTCTTATTGACTTGGTGCATATTCAGTCCATACCATATAGTATCAGACAGAGATTATACTTGAGCGAGAGAAGGAAGCAGCGGAGTCATTTATGGGAGTGTGTTACAATGTGGGCCCAAGGAGAAGCCGTTTCGGTATTCTCCGTACGAAGACCGAGAAAATCACATTAAACGTTGTTGTGGGGACATCAAGCTCTCTAAAGTATCGGGACTTTGTTTTGATGGCTCTAAATTCAATAAAGCTTCAACGGGCTTAAAGCAGTATCAATATTAAACGGCAATTGGGCATGGAGCCTTCTCGTAATCCAATCTATGTGGTCATCAATGACTGGGCCCCAAGTGTGCATGTTAGCGACCTTGTCATCAACTATTCCCATGAAGCAGACGACCCCCAGTGACGAAAAACTTATATAGAGCGCTTGGAAATGGTGGGGATAGTGTGACAAGTGGGCGGGAAATATTCAAAGGAGCTGCGTTGGGAATCTGACAAATCCTCCGACGGATGTTCTTTTCTCACATTAACACTAACGAGCACAGCACTTGCAGCAGCGGGGCGTGTGCCTGTGATGAAGCCGTATGCGCGGCGTAGATGTAGAATAAGAAGTACCCTGGTATTCATGCTGCTTACTTCGAGTGATTCTAAAGGCAGTTGGTGACGTGTAGGCGTGCCCTAGCAATGTAACAATTTAGTGTCCGTGTTTCCTCCCCTCTCCCACTGATGCCATCATCATTTGTGTCCTCGGGATGGCCCAACCCATCTTCTTCTCCAAGCCTTCTACCATGGCATGTAAATATTTTTCCTACCCAGGGGCGCACATAAGCTAGGCCATTCCCCAGGTGGGATGACGTGCTGCCTAGTGCTCAGAGAAAGCGCTGGAGATAGGGTTTTATTGGATACCACCTCATGTTGGGTTAGTAGCTGCGCATTTAAGTGGCGATCTGAACGCTGTCCTAATGATGTTTCAGAGGCATTGCATATTGTTAGACATGTCCAAAGTTGAGGCTATGTACGAGTCTTGCGGGAGCTTTGGCGCTTTAATATCGAGAGTGATAGACTAAACACAAAATAAGAAGAAAAGCTACAACGAGTGTGGGTTTAGAACCAGAATCTTGCCCTGGGCCTAGTCAATGAACCTGCTAGAGAGCGCAAAACAAATAAGTTCTATAATTTTCGGCCTTTGACATCTTTTTGTCTTTTTAGATGTCCTGGTGTTTATGCCCAAAAGAAATAAAGTTAGGGATGTTGAGGGTTCTGGTGAGCTGGAAGGTCTCCGGTGATGTTTCTTAAATGGGAAGGAACATTTCTAAGGAAAGAGTAACCTGTCTACTATGTCATATATACGTATTCCTCACATCCCTTCTTTGTTGGACACTTATCTCATCAGCTCTGAGAAAGATATATTTCTTCAATTCACTTGTCTGCGACACCAAATACTCAAAATGCCCATCCCACTCAGAGAAACGCCGAACGAGGCCGATTTGGAAAGGTCTGGAAACATCAACGCCCTCCAGTACGAACGCTGGCGTCTCTGGGAGATTGAAAAGCCGAATGTCAACGCCGATTTTAATATCTACAACCTTCTTCAGACGGAGGTCAACCTTCGGGAGAATATTCAGCGCGAGATGGCCCTCGAACACAAGCTGGCAGCCTGTCAAAAGGAACACGCCACCAATCCGAATCTCAATCTTGTCACTCGTATTCGAGGTTTGGATTCGGAGATCTCAAAGCTGAATGAAAACTATTGCCTCCTGGAACAGAGGTGGTCGTCGGCCAGGGCTTCATTTCCGGAAGGCCCGTTAACCCGAGGAATCGAATTATGGCGATCACACCCAAGGTGGTATATGCATCGTGAGCTGCGAAAAGATTGTATCGCGAGAGGAGGATGCTGTCACAGAAAATGCGGGTGCTGCTTTAATCGTCATTCATCAGATAGGAAATTCGAAGCCGGGCATTGCACTATTGAGTGTCTCTGTTGTGAAAAATCTCGCGGATTTGCGTTCACTGCCAAAGGAAAAGAGATCTTTGACATGGAATTCGATCTTGCATTTGATAAGGGGTATTTCAGGCGAATCCGCCATGCCTCTTTGCTGGGGCTCATACATGATAACGACGACAACCCTTTTGATCTTATTGATGATCATCCGCGAAGTCGTGAAGCGCCTTCTGCGTGAATAACTTCGTGTATCTAGCTGGCTAAACTCACCATATTTTTCATTATCTTGTTGCAAGCGCATGTGACTACTTGGCTATTACGATGGGCTCTAATACCACAACAATGTGACCTTGTATGGCTTTGGTTATTTTAATGGAACTTGAATTTCACGATTTCATTTCTTGCCAGGTGTCTCATTTTCCACTTTATCAGACTATAAATCCGTCAAATCCGTATCCATTCATAGATGCCTGCGTCCAGTCTGAGACTAAAGAGCGGGCAATGGATGAGATATGAGTTTGCCAGCTGTAGGTTACTTCAGTATAAACAAAAAGTCAAATCTAATATGCATCAACAGAAAGAAAAGCAAAAAGCATCAAGAAGCGTGATGCATGATACAATCAACATCGAAAAGAAACCCCCATAACCTCTCCGTTAGTGCCTTCTCGGGCATAGGCCTGTCGATATCTACCGCATATTGGAGAATATTCTTCCTCTGATCAACAGTGAGGATATTTCCATTATCCAGGGCCATACCCATGACACCAGACCATATGTCTAACGACATTCCAAGGCGCCATGGCTCCTGGGACGCCTGCCCATCCAACAGTTGGCGGGAGCGAAACATTCCAAGGTTGATGGCATCCACCAAATCCCTTTCAGGTCCAAGGCATTGAAATAACTCTCCACTAGAAGAAAGCTGAGCCTTTTTTGAGTTAGCCCCCACTTCAAATATAATCAGAGTACGTATATGTATTTCACTTACATGTATAACCTCCTCATTGAACAGGACGGTCTGCAACTTTTTGGCTATGTCCAGAGCAATACCCCAGATCTCACAACCTTGGACCTCGCTCTCAATCGCAAGTTTGCAGAGATTTTTGGTGACCCATTGAAATTTCATATCAGATCTACATCTCCATGATCTACCCTTCCATGGGGCAGTCAGACCTGGATGAGCCTCTAATTTGTTAATCGCCACAGCGAGACTGTGTCGATAAAAACTCGGAGTTTGCTGTGCAATGTCAGTTGCCCAATACAGCAACTGACGAACTTGTTGATGCAAATGCTCATTCAGATGCCAAGTGATGCTCGGATTCTTTTTCTCGTTCTCAGGTCGAGAGGTACCCGTCTTCGTCTTCGGAAGATAAAAGCAGAGGAACTCGCGTGATTCCTGCATGCACAGATTGCTGGCTAAAGGGATGACTCCAGTCTCTGACATTGGAATTCCGGTCACAGTCAACTCTGGCACTGACCGCAGTCCACGAGTTTTGCGGAAGTGCCTTCGATTACTCTCGGATGCAAACTCGGATGTTCCCTGAGGCTGGGGCATTGCATCCTGTACTTCAGAATATGCGGGGCTCTGGCCCTTGGCGTAAATAGAAAGACGAATGCCACGACCATTGTTACCAGAGGCTGGGTCATCACTTTGGTCAACAATACTGGAATGCTCCTCTTCCACGCGAAGAGGAGCGTTCTGATCCGGGGACCCCAGTTCGCTGCGAGTGTAAATCCTAGCCAGGATCTCCACACCGGGAGTACCGAGAGGATTCCCAGAGAAATTGACTTTCTTGAGCATGTAGCACTCCTTAAAAGAAGTCAAGAAGTACTTCCAAGCTAACTTTTGCCCGGAAGTCCTGACCTCGATGCAGTTCTGAGAAATATCAAGGTTGCTCAGATCGCCGCTGCTGAGTCTGATTGCCCTTCCCAGCTTGGGCAACGACTTCAAGGTCAGACAATTGCCGCTCAGCTGGAGCTCGAAGAGCCGGACAAAACCTTCGGGGTGCTTGTCGTCTCTTTCTTTCTGAAGAGTCTCGAGCAGGGCGTCGATGAATATCTCGAAGCCCTCGTCAGTCAGCTTGCGGCCTAAGAGATCGATCTTGACGGTCGGATCGCGGGAGGCTGCGTCACATGTCTCCTCCAGGGAGTCTTCGTCCCTGTTGAAAGTTAGAATCCATGTTAATTGTCGGGTCTGGGAGGGTATCCATACCAAGTCTCTGGCGGCGATCATGGCCATCTCGACACCTTCCATCGTCCGCTGCAGAGGATACATTAGTATCAATTTCCATTCTGGGGCTTTCTCTGGGCGATATTTACGGAAGCATAATGCATGCGAGTCATTCTGATTGGTTTGGACAGTTCAGTCCTGCTGTCGTCTGGTCTTTCTAAGAACTGATTGAATTAACGATTGAATATTTTGGAAGAAGGCTTAAATTGATTCGCAATTGTGTAGACTGGTGGGAAAAGCCGGGCCAAATGCTGAAGAGTGATATCTTGTTGAATGCTGTGTGTATCGAGGAATATCACGGTGTGCAAGGGGTCTTTTATATCTAGATTACTGCCATACTGCCATACTCAATACTAGCCATACCATGGGATCTACCCCTGATTGAGTCCATAATCAATATAGCAAAACACATGGAGTATAGCATCCAAATGAGACAAGACGAAAACATAAGTTGAAATGGCAACATAATGCCCATCGTCTTGAACAGTGAACATAATCAGGGACAAAAAGAACTTAAGATACTTGGGGTCGATGTCTATCGTCAACAATGGTTCGATTTGCCCAGTGTTTTGGAGTCGTACTTGGAGTGAGAAATAGAAAATCAAAGAATGATCTGTACAGCCGAACTTTTATGTATAATCAGGGATAATGACTTTATTCCATGCGGAGAATCCTAACTTTCAATATAGGATGGCCCCCATTATTGTATATAGCAGTAAGACAAACCGCAACATTCACCGGTTCGTGGCAATCCACCACAAAGGAAAGCTTAGAGATGGAGGGAAAAGCAGAACAAAAAAAAAGCTCCCACCACTTGACCAGCAATCTTCGACCGTCTAAATAAATTTAATAATGTCCTTGAACTCATCAAGCAGATCAACGCCACCATCGTCCCATGCTGCAGTCAAATCCATCCGACCGCCGATGACAGGAGAAACAGGAGAGGCAGGCTGCTCAGGACTCGGTGGTTTTTCATTGATCAAAGGATTTGAAGCGTGAAACTGTGAAGCAGGAACAAAGGGACTTAGCTCCACCCGCTTCTTCTGCTCTTGATCTTGTGTTTCGTCTTCAGCCACCTTCCGTTTCAGGCTGGGTGATTGATGTGTTGAGAGTCGCAGTGTGCTCTGTTTGATACGGGAGTCCGTGCTTGTTGTCGTTGGCAATCCTGTTGATTCTGGCGGTGTATCGTCCAGAATCTCGATTATCTCGTGCTGGGATGACATTTTTCGGTCTTTTTTGGGAAGATCAAACTGTGAACCAGACGGCTTGGGGTCTACATGTTTCTTTACAGTGGCAGGAACATCAGCGATGTTGTTCTTCGGCTGATCATCAATCACTGGAGAAACCGATATTTCAAGCCCCGATCCCCTATTCCCGAGAAGGCGTGAAGGATCTGGTAGATCATCGAAGTTTTCATCGCCATAATCACTGGAGAGGGGTTTTGTGGGACTCTTGTCCCGCTTTCTCTTGTATGAAGGAATATTCTTGTCCCTCTCCGAAAGGACAGACTTCTCTCGACCTGTATTCTTCTTTCCAGCTTGCGACGTTGATCTTACCTTTGAGACTTGGTCGGAGATAGTCAGTTGATTGAGACCACCTTTCTTTTGAATCGCGGGGATAGGTCGCTTTGGTGGTTTCGGGGGGTTTCCAAACCCTCACGGCAGCAGAAATGTTTGCAGCTAGAATTATTAGCTTGGTAATAACTAAAGGGATGATTTTCTCGGACCTTGTTTTGTCTTTGCATTTGTGGTTGCAAGCCCATTTGCCATTCGCAAGTCTGATTGGCTCGTACTCATTTTCATCGATCGAGAACCAATCTAGATCGTCAAACTGTTGAGGCTGTGGCTTTTTATGCTCATTTGCTTTGCCACGGCGTTCATTGACAACGAGGAAATCATCGAGCTGTAAATCATCGCCATCAAAGTCATCCATACTCCGTTGAGATTTCATCTTGGTGGTAGTCACATCTCGTCCTTGGGGACGAGACCTGCTGGTCTTCGGTTTCTCCGTATCTTTGAGATTCAAATTCCCCTTGATGGGACGAGGTGGTAGGTTCGAGATTTCAGTCTTTTGGGCATTGGCTGTTTTGTCTCGCACAGCAGCAAAGAGGTGAGATGGCAGGTTAGGTCGGAGCTCAGCTTGTTGCCATGTCCCCGCTGGAAAATTGTCAACATGGATATATGTGATGCGCAAAGACAAAAGCAGAAGGAATCATCGCTTTTGTTCACATTCAGGAGTCTTACCAATTTCATCGCACATAACATGACATACAATAAGTTGCTCCGCACTCGTCAATTCCGTAGAGAGTTCAATCTCCAAGTTCTCCTGGAGCTTGGTGGCGCTGGAAGGGAATCAGTATTTGCCTATGATGAAAGAGTCGTGGCTAAAGATCTCACCTTATCCGTCTAAAATCGACCATGATGCCATCAGACCTTTCTATTAAGCAACACACGTATACCGGGCGACGTTGAAAGAATCTCGGGATCTTGTCATTTAGAAACGCGAGTTCGACCTTCAATCGGACATTGATAGAGTTCGCTTTCACTTCCTAGATCACACGTTAGCAAAATGACATGTATCACCATAAGATATTATTGCAAACCCTTCCAAGCATCTTCACAGAAACTCTCAGTTTCGGGAACTCCTTCAATCTCGAGAGCAGCTTCGACCCGAAAGGCGGATTCTTACTAAGAACCATCTCAATCTGATGAGGCTCCGCACATTCCAGCCCTTCGATGCTGGTGATCCCAGCAGCAGCCAACTTCCGAACTGCAACAACACCCACTTGCTCGATCTGCTTCATTTGGAGAGGCGAGCGGTCCCAGACCTTCGCTCCGAAACTCCGGGCGAGTTCAAGGGCATTGCGGATGGCGATTGAGTCGCCCCGGGTGATTTGACAGTCGATCAAGCAGCGGATTAGTCGGTTGACATGTGCGAAGACTAGACTTTTGTCCTGCTGGAAGGTGAATTTGAGCTTTTGGAGTTGCTCATTGCTGGGATACTCAATTGCCCCTAGCTCGGATTGAAGGAGTAGTGAGATCTTGTGGGCTGGGAGTGCTAGGTCAACTTTGATTGGGAATCGAATTCCTGGATCACGGTTTATCTCTCGGTAGAGTGACTTCTCGCCGGCTTTGAGGCGGATCTCGCGGAATTCTTCGGCTTGTGCGATCACGTTAAGCTGGAACCATACGTCAGTTGAAGTTCTTCATTCCAGCAATCTGGGAAGAATGGACTCGCAGTCTCAGACACGGATGCTTTTGGCTTCAGCGACACTAGAACTTTCATAGTCTCGAAGTGAATGTAGTAGCGAGCCATAGCCTCACCAAGCCGGGTTGAACAAAGGCTCTCGGCTTCAACTAAGCCGCATTTTCGAAGGAGCTCAATATCCTTCTCACAGATCTGACGGAGTAACGCATCTTCGTCTTGCTGATTCGCGCCTTCTTTGAGCTTGTAGTGGGTTGGATTTCGACGAAGTCTCACAAACAAGAATGTACCAGCAAGCCATTTGACAGCGGATTCAACGTCCGATATATTCCCCAAGCCGATCTCAGCGTTCAGATGATCAATGAGATTTAAATGCAGGCAGCTCTCTAGACTTTGAGGGCCCTGAACTAGCTTCTCATAGTGTGTGACGCGTTCCTTCCTAGTGAGGATGACAGCTGTCGCACTGTCATCGAATTGCGGTCGGCCCGCGCGGCCGAGCATCTGCATCATCTCCAAATCCGAGTACTCTTTGCAGCCTCCATCTTGCCAACTGACAGTGTTCTTGATTATAACAAGATGACAAGGCAGGTTGACTCCAACCGCAAGTGTAGATGTGCAGCATATGACGTTTATATGCCCTTCTCGGAAACCTGTCTCAACAGTGTGGCGATCAGCAGGGCCCAAACCAGCGTGGTGGAATGCTACACCAGCAGGGAGTGTTGCTATTTCAAATTAGCAGTGTGCATTTGAAAGTGGAGCCTAGTACATACTCTTTAGGTCCTCGTTATGAGCTTCGAGGCGCTTGTTAGGTTCCTTCCAAAACCTGGCGGGTGGATTCGTCAATGTAAAAAGCCGAGCCAATTCTTTCGCCGTCGCGAGCGATGAGTTCCGCGTGCAGCAGAAGATCATAATGGGCTTCTGGCATGAATGCATTCCGATCACTTCAGGTAACCTTTTTCAAGCACAAATCAGTTATGCCAATCGAGTAGCTCAATAGAAAGAAGAGATGGAAACAATGAAGAATCCAAGAAGACTTAGGAAAAGTGACCACATACTTTGAACCGCAGACTTTATCAAATGCAAAGTCATTCGAGCTAGACGCATACCCGTAAACAAACTTCGTCAGGGTGACAGGACGAAACTCCTCACCGAAATGCTCCCGGTGCGCAGGAAAATGCTGATTAGTCGCGTCCTTCCCGAGCCAGGTAGCAATATCCTCGGAGTTGGGAACAGTGGCACTCAACGCGACAAATCTCACATTCGATCCGATATTCTTCATTCGAGAAACCACAGCTTCAAGTGTAGCTCCACGCGTCTCCTTCAGAATGTGAACCTCGTCAATGAGAAAGAGCTTCACGAGCTGCATCAACTTCATATGGTCTTTCCATTTCCGAGTCATGCTATCCCACTTCTCGGGCGTGGTAATGATGATCTGGCTACTCTGAACGTTGCGCAGCTGCATGTGGTCCGTATCTCCAGTCAATTCTGCACACTTGAGATTCAAGCTGGAGAACTTGATGTGCCAGTCTCGGAAGCGCTCGCTGCATAGTGACTTGGTAGGTGCTTGGTAGACGACTTTGAAGTGTTCGTCTTTGAGGGCATTCAGGAGTCTGCAGATAGCCAATTCCATCACTACTGTCTTACCACTGCCGGTTGGTGCGGACAGGACGATGTTGTCATTGCTGTTGTAGACGGAGTGGAAGGACTTGGATTGAATCGCATTAAACAGTGGGAAGGGAAACATCGACCGGTAGTTCTCCGGCATGTCATTTACTGATACGAGGACGATTCCCCGCACAGAGGGTAGAATGTTGCTGAAAGGGTTGCGGTGCTGTCTATTGCCAATCAAAGCCTCTGGGCTTGCTTGAGTGATCGGTTCCTGAGGCGAGGAATGACTAGTCTCATCACTCATCTCGAGGCCGCACTTTCCCATCCGCCTGTCGTCCTTCCTCTGACTAAACAGAGCCAATGGGCTTGACGACGGCCCTAGTACAGGGTCTGACGAGCTCAATCCATTCCACCGAGAAGGGATACTCGAGCTTGCTATCACTTGTCAATCCCGAGCCAACAATACGGAAATACTAGCACCCGTGTACAAGCAACTCACGCTGAAAGAAACGAGAGAATTGAGGTGGGTGCAGATCAGGCTGACGAGACGCTTGAAGAGGCGTAGAGTTGGGACTTCCAAATCCTGAAGCTTGAATTGTTTCCTCCCTGTCCTCTGAGGCTAATAGCTCCAGGTCTAGCTTCGATTAGCACCCATCATGATGATGAACTGGCAGACTCACCAAAGGCATCCAATTGAACATCATCATCCTGAGCTGATGATGCCAGGTCGGTGACAGCAGTTCTACTACTCTTGGATGGGGACCAAGCATCTGTGCGCCTCTGTGAGGGCAATTGAAATGGTTTAAAGTTCGTAGCCTGATGATTCCGACGCATTTCAAAATGCACTTCGATGATTGGGGTTGAACCTGGGGTTTGTAGGGATGGATTGCAAAAGTGCCTCCAGAGCTGGTTCCAGGGTCCATGATCCCGATAACGTGACGGCACGTGGACACCCCATACCTTTGTAGTATACGAATATACTGCAGTGTCTTTTCAAAATCAGTAAGAATAGGAATTGTCAAGTATTGTGGGGTATATGAAAGTGTTTCATTGCTTCGTATATATGCATACATGAGCCAAATCCAGCCAATATCTCGACAGTCAAGGGACATGCAAAATTAGGCAGCGAAGAGTAGCTAGCTCCAAATTAGGAGCAGCGTCAAGAATAGTACAAAAGTTCGTGGCGGGCGGCTTGAAGACCGCACTTACATCCGCATCTATCAGGCATCCAATATCATTTCCCGTAAAGAATCTCATCATGTATACCAGTAGTGATGTGCATGGCGATTACAGCATTCATTTCTCGTCGAAATAGCCGCCCACGCTTGCGTTCCGGCTAGCGCTTACTCTGGTATGGCCTGGTGCTGGTGAGGTGGGACGTGATGACGACATGCCGTCAGAGAGGAAAGGTGAGGTTGGAAGTTTGATAGAAAACTCATTGGGGGGCGCCACAGGGGAGCTCTCGGGGCCTGCGGAGTCCTTTTCGTAGGCGTCGATGCGGATTGGAGGTGGACGCAAGGCACCCATTGCAGAGTTGAAGTTGGGGTTTCCATAGTAGTGGGTTGCTACCAGGACTGCAGCCGAGCCTAGGAGGAACTATAATCCCAGTCAGTCTTGTTCATAATGTTCATGCCGAGGGCGGGGAGCTAGAATAGAGGGTGGGAAGGATTAAAACGGCAAGGAACGTACAGTTGCATTGACCTCAAAGTCAAATAGCCAGATGCTTCCAATAATGCTCAAAACGATGTTGGCAGTTGTAGCCGAACTCCTTGCATCCTTTTGCGTATGGCTGACATAGAATGCAGAAAAGATACCACCCAAGGCTTGGATGATGATGGTAGACCACACCGCCCAATTGTAGCCCTGGAAGAAGCCATCTTCGGCGATTTTCTCGCCCTCCCGGAAGACAATCCCAATGAAGAGAGCCGGGAACACTGAGTAAATAGCTAATTGCACATTGCGGACCCACAACGAGATATGGTTCGAGCTGTCCTTTAGCACTTTCTCGAAATAAATACTCGCAAGTCCAGAGGCCAAAGACGCTCCGATGGTCGCAAAGAGACCAATTGTGGGGTTCAAGTGTGGGTCAGCCGTCAGGATGTCCTCTTCGATACCCTCGTATGTTGCGGACCGCTTTTGTAAACTGCTGCCAGAACCAGCACCTTGCTTGACAGCCCTCCACTCCTCCAAGGATCGAGGGAAATGGTGGCCAGTATGATCGTCCTGCAGCATCTGCTCGGGGCTTGCATCGGGGATTTGCACCAACGCCACGCCCACCACGAGAAGCAAGAGCAGACCCCACTTGCGGGGAGGGATGCTCCGTTTCAGGAGCATCAGACCAAAGACCGCAGTGGTAAGGAACTTCAACTGGAATGTAATCTGGAACGACGCCGCTCGTAGGTTCGAGAGTGAAATGAACAGCAGGGAGTTGGACAAGACGTCGAGCCCGGCAGGGATAGCGAGTTTCCAGCTGTCGCCTGAGAACACGGTGCTTGTGAGGGAGAAAAAGAGGGAGGTGGCGGGCATCGAAGGTGGTGCAGTTTTGGAGACGTCATAGAGCGCCATTGTGAGGGAGATGGCCAGCTTGACGACTTCAACCAGGAAGACGGCCGTGGAGGTCAGGTAGCGTTTACCACCGGCGGGGGGCATAACTCGAGAATAATGAGCTAGCTAGAATATTGTAAAAATACAAATTAGCCTTCCATTCCTACCACAAGGATTTTCCATGTCGCGCCGGACGACTTACCAACACGAACATAGTAGACTCCGCGGTCAACTAGAAATAAACAAAAGGCAAATCAGCAAACAGAGTCCCCAAGATCGCAAAGGCCGTGTGATTCGCGGCAGTCCCATACCAGAATCCATGGCGCAATATTGGCCGCAACTCGCAGCGGAGACGGCTGGCGTTGGGCGCGATCCCCCATAACGAAGTAATAGATCGCGTGTTCCCTCTAAATAGTGGATAATGTTTCCGCAAAAGGGGCACGCAGTGCAATCCCCAGTCCGGTGAAAGTGGTAGATAGGTTCAGTAGAGAGAGTAACAATAGAAGAGTGTACGATGTAGAGCAAGCTGCAAATCCCAATTCGCGAACCAGGGGGTTGTGGGTTGTTCTAGAGATCTTCGTGTTTAGGTCCCGATAGGGTTTCCCGAGGGTGATCGGAGGTGATGCGGGTGGCTGGGAGGCGAAAGAGAGGATGGGCGTCGGATAGCTCCACTGTCCGAAGGAGTGTATCCGAAAAGAAAAAAAAACTTGAAAAAGAAAAGAAATGGATGATACTCTGTAGGGTCAAGCAATAATCTGGGGTTATGCCGACGAAAAGCTCGGTCAGATCGTGAGTGGATCAAGATCACAGGCCAAAGGTTCATGCGTACGGGGTACCTTAGGGGTTTGCAATGAGTACGGAGAGTATAATATATTCCTGTACTTGGCGATATCATATCACATTTAATACGATATTTATACTCAATTTCGGCCCCTTAACCTTGAAAGATGACGTCGAGCCCCCAAGTGCCTCTCAGATCCTCTCCACCCACAGGGGTCCACGTCTTCTTTGTCCCCATAATTATTCCTCCCATCTCGTCATTCGATATTAGTGTCTAGGTATTTCCCATTCGGGTTAATATATATATATGTATCTCAAACCAGATTATCCAAGTCCTACATCGCCAAGTACAATATGAGCGCGCTGACTATTTTGCTTCTATACAGATGACTAACTTACTGTAGATACAAAGTCCCCATTAAAGGTTGATATATTCAAGTAATCTATAGTGTTAAGATTTACTTTAAAGAATGCATAGATATGAGCGGTGAATCCTGAAAGTCCTGGTTGCGATGCATTGGGATACGGTTCCGGCTCGGCCATTATGTGGTAGGAACTGTGCGGAATCGGATATCATTGAGAATATTATGGTACAAGCGTCCGAAATAATAAAATCGTGTGAAAGACACGAGGACCACCCAAGTAAAACATGATAGCAGGTATGGAAGCCCGCGTGTGAACGCTAATTCGAAAAGCAATAAAGAAATAGTGAGAAGACGTAAGTAGGAGGGTCATGTAGGAAACAGAAGCTTGAAGCAAAATGCTGCAGGATTCAATCAAGTCAAGGAAATGCAGGAAAGACCGTAGAGGATCAAATCAAGTAGGAATACAGAGGAAGAGAAAGGTAACATCTGAAATGTAAGGGGTGGAGTGAGAGTGTTGGGTATCAAGGGCCAAGCGATCAGTGCACAGGAGCGACATTGGTGTGTTCCTGGTTCCAATCAAAGTCGAAAGACCAGAGAGGAAGATCATGACTGCGTTTTGACTCACCGCCATCTAGCAGGATAGCCTCGCTACTATCGGTGCGACGGCGGGTGTGCTGCTTTTGGTCTTCGGGGATGGCAGGTGGGGGGCCTCTTGGGGGTGGCTTCGGAGAGAGAAGCGGCGAGAATCGATGAATTGGCAATGTGGGGGTCTGCGGCGAAGCACCGCTGGTGGAAGGGGAGGGCAAGCTCTCGGAGTAGTCTGCACTGAAACCAGAAGAGGAAGCGGCAGTGCGGGGTTTCCGTTCACTATCTGAGCCTGAGCTTTGGGAGGGCGATCCATCTTTGTACTGGATAGCGCTCTTTTCTGACCGGACGTCGAATGGCGGGAAAACGTTACTGAGACGCAAAAATGAGGTGTCAGATCCGCAGAAGGAATCGCGCGACGGGCCAGAGGCTAGTGATCTTCTGTCCGCTCCCTGGGCATTGAACAAACTGGGTGTGACCTTGCCCTTTCGAATACGCATCGCCTCGAGGAGATCTTGCTCTTGGCGGGTCACCGCGATTACACGACTCCTCCTGTTTAACTCTTTCAACTCTGCGGGAGAGCGGAGAGGCTGCTGTGGGAATTGCGCAAGAATATCATCGGAGATAGTGGGAACTCCACTCGAACGGCGAGTTTGCGTGGATCGTCGAGTTGTCTGAGAAGACTTGCCATTCGAGGTCTCGGAAACCTTTCGTGGGCGAGCTGCTGGCACTGGCTGGCTCTTTTCGGTTTGGTGGGAGCCACGGGTGCTAGTCGAGAGTGTCCGGTCAAAGCGTCTTACCGCCGTGGCGGTGGTCGCCTGGGCAGTAGAAGCCGTGTAGACCTCAGGCTCGTATTCGCCAAAGGTAGCCACACTGTCTCTTCTAGACTTGTTTGTATTGCGCTTTGACTCTGTGATTGGAGTTTGGTCCTCATCACCCTCATCCTCCGAAGAAGAGGAGAGGCAAAGCATACTGACGTTTCGCAGATCCTTGTTTTTCAAGGTGCTTTTGCTGCTCTTCTTGGTCAACAAGCTCTTCTCGCTCTTTGACTTTGACTCGGTCGTCTTCCAAGATTCCTGAGAAGTACTCATGCCGCGACCACGCTTTGGATCTGGACATGAGGCAGGACTCAAGTGAGACTCCTTGGGTCGAGACGGGCTATGACCACGTCTCGAGCTCTTTCGAGGTTCCTGGGGGCGTGGCTGTTCTGGCTGCAATTGCTCCCGGCTGTTTGTATACATGCTTGAGTGACTCAAAAGTGATCGCCGCGCCGCATATCTATCCAGGGCCAAATCAATCTCGCTCGTTCCTACTGTCCGCTCAAGTGGTTGCTCCGACCACTCGCTATCTTTGCTTTCGGCAATCGAAGGCAAATCTGAATTATCGACACCATGCTTAGGTGGGTGTGTGCCATTTTTGGTGAGCGAAGATCGGTGAGGCGTTTCGATGTATCTCCTCGTAGTAGAGTTACTCGTGCCGTTTGTTGTCCTGTCAATTTTCGAAGAATCCGTGGCAACTGTCGAGACGGGAGAAGGGGAATTAACCATTCGGTGGGGGGACAGAAGTGTTGGTGGTGCGGGATTTCGCGGCTTCGGGAACAAAACGGAGAGGTCAATTTTTGGACGCATCTTCCGCTTGGATTCCTTTGGTGGATCCTGAGCCTGCGTATATGTCACCTGTGGCTCCACGCTGAGTCCATGTCGTACTCTAGGCTGAAGTCCTTGGTTTTTGACCGATTTGGATGATTCTTTTGAGCTAAAATAGGAGAAAAGGGTGGACGAGGAACTGGAATTGTGGACCTTTTTCGATGGCTTCGGAAGCGGCGGCGCAGCCTCCAACGATCGGTAGTCATGGCCCAGCAAAGGCGATGAAGCCCGCACGCGAAGGTTATGATCGGGAATCAGGGCGTTGTCCGAAGAGCTCGGGAAGGGAACGAAGCCGCTGTTCTGTCTAGGAACACTATTGGGTGGCTTGCTAAAGCTCGGTCGGCGGACATCTGGGGCTTCCTGCCACCCGCCATGTTCCTTGGGAAGTGATATATCGGTTCCAAAAAATCTTTGGGCTTTCGAGGTTCGCCGGTCTGCGATCCGGGGCTGTTCCTGGGTGTTCATCGGTTCGTGTCGGGCCGGGGTTCGACTCGATGTTCGCAGTGGCACATGGACCGGTGTAAGTTCTCGGTGTCCCATGGTGGGAGATGTAGGACAAGTTCAATTGTTCATAAAATCGTATGATGCGATGGGCTCACAAGCTCACGGGCTCTCGCAAAATGTGTGCTGGGCGGGTCTCAGGTTCAAGTATCTCGCTTCCAACACTTCGATCTACTCCACAGGTCAGATCGGTTATTTACAGCAATTTTAGGGAGATCGGAGGTATCAGCTTACCTGGCAATAGATATATCAATGTTCAAGGGTCAGGACTGGGAAGGGTATAATTTTGGTAAAGTAAAAGATCCGAGCAAAATGCGTAACAAGATGGGGTTGTGATGTTTTTTTGTACGCATACTCGTGTACGGTGTACACAGGCTAATAATTTAGAAGGATTTCCTGTTCACAGGCTTAAGGGGGGGACTCCACATAATGTCTAGCACAAAAGTCCTTATAGGCTGAGCAGTAGTGTTTCATTTATTCCAATTTTAATTGAAGTGGAGCACGGCTTGTCAAAAGTTGATCGACATGGAATATTAGAAATACTAGAAATATTAAAAAATAGATCGGTTACTTGTGATACATATGGATCTTAGTGTAAGCCAAAATTAGATCTCTCAGGAGCAAAAAGACTATACATGTTCTATCATGTTATATAAGAATGCATGAAGGTATGGAGTACATTTGCATAACGCTATTATTCTCCGTTTTGGACGGAGAGATTTAGCCCCCCTTACGGCGGCATCTGCAACCTAAAAAAATAGTCAACTCCCCGGATGTGAAGAACGTGGCTCTCCGTATTCTCCGTGGATTCACGCTATTGACGCCTCCCACGAATTCCTCCCATCCTTGCTGCTGTTAATTGGAATTATTTACGCTCCACCCATTTAAGTAGCTAATCCCCTCCTATCCACTCACATGGATGCTTTTTCCTGAGCTATCACCACAATGTGGAGTCAAGTCCAGGCTAGAGCCAAAAACTATGGATTTCTCCATAGTGTGCAGCGATTGTTCACCCGCGGTCGCATCTTCAGAGCCCTGATCGACAAATCGATCGTTTACTAACCCAATGCGCTGGACCGAAGTTGTCTGAGATCTTGTTATTTAGGAGTATCATGGATGAAGCTTTCCCTACCGGAGCCGGTTTGCTCCGTGACCGATACCAGCCCGTGTTATTCCCTTGGACCCCGGTTCGACTAAAAATACTCGCGTTCCCCCGGTAGCCATCGGAAATGCACGTACAAAAGACCCCCACAGGAACTGGTAACGATCGACTTGCATGTGGGCTCTCGCACTCGCACGTACAACAGCCCCCACAGGAACTGGTAATGATCGACTGAATGTTGCCTCTCGTACATGCACGTATCAAGGCTCCGAGACCTGGTAATGAACGACCTGGCATGCGGGCTTGAAACTTGTTCGCATGCTCGGGAAGTGAGACATGAATCTGATCGTTTGCGGCTGACAGCTTGATGGTGCTTGTGGATACACTTAGTCTCGAAGCTGTGCACCGCCTCTATTTTAAAGGTTTTAAATTCGGGTTAATATGTGTTAATATATGAAAATTTAAAAAAAAAAGGGCCCAGTCACTAACATAAACTTTGTATCCTTGCTTTTTTAGAGATCAGATCCGATTACGGAGATCCTATCTTCTCCGTGCACCGCGACCCACGAGGCGATGACACTCCGGGGGGCGTGATTTCACTTCGGATCGAGATCCCTCTCCACCAGATTCTGTTTGGCCGAACGTCGATCGACCTCTCTGTACGTAATTAGCTTTTCCTTTTTTGGTCTACTCCGACTTGGCTGTACGCGTCAATAGTAAACCGAAGGAAATGAACAAATCAAATGGTCTTTAAAAACACAACTTGAGAAAAAAAAAACCACTGTACACCATGTACCCTATGACCAGTCAAACGGAGCACGCTATTGAATCTAGGCTAGTGGTTTGGCAGGTAGCTAGGCCAAATAGTAATGCGGATACCCCCTGATGGTCGCCAATAGTCGACTCCAATAGCCCTGGTCTCGTTCCAGGGTTTTGGATACGCTCTATCATCTATCTATTGTCTTCTGTGTGGGTCAAGGCACGAAAATCATGGAAATCCTCCACATTTCACATCCCACTTTTCAAGTATTGAGTCTGGACATCATTTTGCGACAAAATGTACAAAATTAGGATATCTTAGTAGGTAGGGGGGGGGGGGGGGGGGTATGGCCAGGAATTGCAGGATAAAAGATGGAGATTTACGGAGTATATGGAGGAATAATTATTCCGTATAGAAGAGCTTTTTCCACCATAAAGCTTATTTTTCTTATGTAGTCAACATTTTAATAACTATGATGTGTATGAAAAGATTCACTCTCATGGACTGTGCTGAATGCGAAATAACTCATTGTTCTGGAATAAGTGGATATCCAAAAAGAATTAGGAAACACTAGCACAAAATATACTCCGTAAACTACTGCGATCATTCCTCTATCTGAGCTTCGTCGTCTTAGCCTCCCGAGTAGAAGCATCATCTTCAAATCCTTCATCTGACGAATCCAGCAACCGCTTCGAAACGCTGTTTGAGGTCTGCCCCTCAAAGAAATACCCACTGGCAGAAGGGTTAGAGCGCACTCGTTTCCAAAGTTTAGGTTGCGAGCGATGGTCAATGGTATCAGTCTTCTCAGCGGACTCACTCGTGAATCTGCCCAAGATCGGTATACCAGAACGTGACCAATGTGAGCGAGTCACTTTAATGGGGTTAGGAGGGGGTTTCTCGTACTTCTCGGTAATTAGTTCGTGTATACCCGTAGAACTTCTCGCAGATGTATGGAGTCACTTACATATTACCGGATAAGCAACATGGGGGCCAGGATTTCGCTGTAAATGGTGTTGCAAGGATGGGATTGTCCTTCTGAGAATCTGGGGAACCCTATCCTATGGAGGTATTTCCTCCCCTTGGACAAAGTTGATTCCAGAATGCCTAGTTTCCGGAGAGTGTTGATTATTGCACGAGCCTCGTCATCGCTGCAGTCCAAATGTTGTTATATGAATGCTTTGAAGGATGGCAGTTATTTTTACTAATTTCTCTAGCCGTTTGCCAATTCAAATCTGGCGGTGCCTCCCTGACAAAGATAAAGTACATTATTCTGCGCGTTCGGGTACGCTTAATCAGTTCTTCCATCAGATTGCTATCGAAGTCGTATCCGATCAAGCAGCTGTAGCAGTAATGTATATACGGAATTTGGTTGTCCTTTACAGAATAATAACCATAGCACAGGGTGTGCTGGTAGTCCTTTCAATTAGTACATTGTATCTTCAATATCGATTAGAACTGATGACATTTGATAGACCACTCTCATGACTTATAGACTTGCTGGGCTAGAAGTTCCAAGTGTTGTACTCACACCGATAGTGACGCCCAGCCTTCTGCAGGTTCTCCTAGTTATCTTTGTTCTCTTCATCTAGCTTCTTGGTGGCATCATGACGATCATGAACATAATCTACTGTTCTTGCCGTGACAATGGGCTTCGAACCTGCACCCTGCAAAGGACGAATGTATTTAGCCGGGGGAAAGTTTCTTCGAATCTCTCAACTATCCTGAGAAAGGTGGACTCCATCGCGGCTAACGGGACATATTGCATAATGTTCCTCCTGTGGCTCATTGAAGGGTATCCGGGATCTTCTCGAGCGTTCAGTGCGTTTTCTTTTACGCTCGATTTCGGAAATATCGTCTGGGTCGACTACAATAGAGTAAGTCAATGACTGAGCCACTCCGTGCACCCTGGACTGATCAGCATCCACGTCTTCTTGGTTGAAGAAGATCATATCGTCTACATGCACCTCCGTCTACTAAAACCAGATTGCATTCGATGGTTTGGATAGGAGCGGCAGTTAAGCCGGATTAACATATCGCCGTGTTTCTCTAGCTTGCCTTTTACCTATACCTTGATGCCTAGCGGGCATGGGAATCCCGACCTCGTCAGAACGGAGCACTGCGTCGAAATTTGCCTCCTTCCATTGAGCCTCACCACCGGGTGAGGTAGAAAGAAGAGAATTCACTCTCAACCCGACACTTCTGGGTGTTAGTCCTGAGCCTTGATTAAAGAAAGGAAAACGTTAAGACAAACGAAGAAACAAGATAAATGAATATAGCTGTGAAAGCCGCTGTCGACGCTTCCGTAAAAACGCCTCGTCCTCTTCCAGTACGAAGTCCGCGGATATTCAATGGTGTCGTCTTGGGAACCAGTAAGTCCAGGTATATCGTAGGATGCAGGGCATTCTAGTTTGTAGAAGATGTGTATTCCCAAGCTACGTTCGTCTGTTCAACGCGTAAGCAGCAACACCAAGAATGAGCAACAATAGAGTGTACATACCAGGCAATGCCGGGATTTCAGCACACATTGTGCTCAACCGTCGGAGGGCCTTCCCTTCGAATATCATATTACGCATTCTCACTCGATCGTCATGGGAGCTGACAAAATCCATCCTTCTTTAGGCCGTTGATTAGGCGATCTGCAGTGCCGCGCTCACCAGTCATGACAGTAAGCTGGACAGCATGTAGAACGCCTCTTAGTAGAGCATTGAAGATGCCATCTTCCTATAAGATATAGCCATTAGCGCTGCTCGATAAACATAAGGTATCGAGGGACTCACTAGAAGGTCGAGAAGTTGATCAGCTTCGTTCATATGTCTTTCAATCACACATATAGGACATATTCCGCTCGGTTACGTGCGAGATTGCCCCGGGTCTTCCCTTCTATAAAACAGGAATAATTATAGCGCTCGTGAACGCGCTTTTTCTCGCAGAATCCGCTCGTCAAATGCATCCATAGGCAATAATCCACTAAGTTCGATGTTAGGCGCTTGAATAGCTAGTACATAATTTAGGCCATGACTAACCGCATATATAAAAATGATGCGATCTATAAAGCGCATATTGGATCACAGCTACAAAAGCATACACCTCGTGGGGAAATCGACTTACAGTCATATGTAATGTTATCTTCATTAACACAAAGGTTTGCTCCTATTGTACCGTAAGAATTGGTTGGGTCCATCTCGGGTACTATTGATTTGACATAGTTGATCGGGGCTACTCACGATCACGGGAAACCGGTGGATTTTATCCGCTTGTATTTCAGGCCGGGGTGTCCCAAACTCGGAGACGGCTCCTAAAGCTACGGTTTTCTTGGGGTGAGACATGCTACTGACAGTATGAGTATGACAGATCGAAAGTGAAAGAATTGAACCTTATAATGGGAGAAGACGAGGATAGTATATATCTATGCGGAATGTGGACAAAAATACAAAGAAAAAAGTAGAACTGCGAGCTCTAAGAATAAAATATCTTTGGATCAGTTGCTAGATATCAACAAAGGATACCGTGTATCTTGAAACATCTGAGGGGTTAGTAAGTTTATTCATGGGTATTGGAAATAATGACTACTATATCCTACGCTCTCACTGCATTAGTACCGTAATCATCTATCTTTTTCTCTTTTTTGATATCCGCAATTTATAAACGTCACTTCGCTATGATATATATATATCGGGACAACCCTATCTCCTATCGGATTTCCAGTGAACAAGCGGCCCGGTGATATAACTCCATTATGTGTTCCTCTACTCCGTATAAACGTGTCAAGCCAAGTGTAGTGGGAAATATCACGGATATGGGAGAGTAAAAGTAACCAAACCCTAAATAGACCTAAATAGATGCGGGGGAGACCGAGACATATTGCAGTTATCGGCCCGTGGGTATTCCATCTAGGGCAAGATATGACTTGCATAGAGTAGGTAGTAAGGGGCAACGGACTACGAGATGATTATTCTGTACCCCTGTGCCCTGTGCCCAAGCCCCTAGTAGATTACTTCTTCACAACAATGAAATTGCCAAGAAGCCACCCGGAGCACGCCCCCACTTCACGTGATATGTGGCGATGGCAAATCAAAAACTTGATAGTTGATTTTTTTGGAATGAATTACGATATCTATGTAGAGGCAAATCTATAGTATCCATTCAATATGGACGTTGTAAATGGCTTGAGACCAAAGGGAAGTAGACCTGCTTATCTGAGGTCATATCGGTCCCACCTTTTATCTGGTGAATTCTGCCGGTCTAGAGCAGAAAGGAGGGATTTCTCCAGGTTTCACACTCGGATCATCTTGGGCATTAATCAATGTAGAGGGCATCGAATTTCTAATATGTAATAGTAAATTGTAAAGAAGAAAAAAGAAAAAAGAACGTTGGGCTCATGACATCGTTCACCTACGGGAACCGGAATAAATGTTGTTCTCCGCCCCAACTCCTTGTCAGCCGCCACTGTTTCTTTCTCCCCTTCCCTTTTGCTTCCTTTACTTCCTTGCTTCCTGTTTGTTTCCCCCCAACAGCTTGATCATTCTTCTGCTATGTGCTAAATGCCCTTTGCATCGATGGTTTCGCTGGTGTACCGTGAGGGGCATTTTAGAAAAAAAGATAAACAGGGAACACAGGTTCCTTTGTCTTTTGCACATGAGCTTGCTTTACAATGACTTCGAATGCTCCCAGCTCCGTTCAAATATCTGAAGTTGACTCGACTTTGACCGACAACACGTCCGTATCTGCGTCTCATGCGACCCACAGCCCCGAATCTCGATTCATTCATCCTCGAAAACGTGAAATGGACGAAAGAGAGGAGCCAGGCCAAGGGCCATCAAATGCGGCTATAGGACAGTTCACCTTCGCCCCTACTACCCGAACGACGGTGGTGACGACCACGACAACTACGACCACCTCCTTCCCACCATTAACAATCAAACCCCCGCGAGCCGTCAAGGATCTGGATGCCCGACAATACCCTCTCGCCTCATCTCCAACTCCAGCGGCCCTAAGAAATCTCAAGTTCAAGATCGGTGACAAACCAATCGTCTTCAACGAGCCCGAGGATACCACAAATGCTGCCGCTGAGGTATGATCTTATCCTACCCTGGGTCTTGGTTACAATGCTCACAGTATAATAATATATAGTACAAGGAGAAAAGCGAGGCGTTGAGATCGTCAAATGGCCAGATTCGCTCTGTCAATTCGTTCATCTCCGAGGGCGAGAACCCCGCTCGGCGCCTGGCCACCCCGAGAATAGCGAGCCAACCTTCGAGTCACCCTTCCAATACTCGTCGTCGTGCCGCCTCACCCGTCACACTTTATGATCCTCGGCCCTCGGTTCTTCCACGAACTCGCCCGTCGCGGGTTCCTTCCGAGCCCATTACACGCCGCACTCGCCAAAGTGGTGTGGGATCAACCCATCTTGCCGCCGGGCTTGCCACCCCAGACACCGAAACCAATTTGGGGGGACCTGGCGAAAATGTGGCCCCGAGACCAAGAATTCATAGCTCGGTGTTTCCGCGCAGGGAACCTCTGCCGTCACCCCTCTCCTCTGAAATCGGAGCTAAAGGCATACAGACATCCAATCAAAATTCTTACTTGCAGAATGCATTGTCTGGGATTCGTTCAAACCCCGGAACTCAAGAGTCTCAGGCCACTGAAGTGGATGAAAGTTCGACTGCACATGAATCGGCTTCATTTGGTCACGATACAACATATGGAAGCCAGGAATACACAACGCAAGAAAGACCCGAGCTTCTGTCTCAACTATCGGCAATAGACAATGCCATGGCGCAGGATATGTGCCTCCCGAGCCCGAGTCTCTCCCCGGTCGCTGCTATGAATGCCCTCCATGGCGAAGCCTCCTTTGACTCGGAAGGGCTCGACGTTGATACGGATTCTAGTCTAGATCATAATGTCTCGCGCTTTTCCAAGGCTTTGCGGCTTCAAGATGCAGATGAGACCCAGGTAAATGGTCATTCCCTCGCAAACTCACGGTCACCGCCATCCCTCCTGGATATGCCTAAGGTGTTGGAATTCTTTGATTCCGTGCCTGATGAGGTCAAGACATATCTCATGTATCAATTTCTCCGGAGATGCCCCAAACCTACTCTCCATTTCGTGGCCGATGTGGTTAATCCCACTTTGAAGTGCGACTTCCTGGCTCTTCTGCCGCTTGAGCTCAGCCTCAACATCGTCAAATACCTTGACGTTCAGACTATGTGCCGTGCTGCGCAGGTGTCTAAGAAGTGGAGACACATCACTAATTCTGATGAAAAGAGCTGGAAGAACCTTCTTGACCAGGACGGATATCATCTCTCAGATGGAGAATTAGAACGGGCTATAAGACAGGGATGGGGATGGCAGTTGTCGAGCGGCCCTGAAGATCACGAGGAGGATCTCAGCGTTGTGGCCCTGGCAAGGGCTGATCTTGAGGCTTCTCCTGTCCCTTCGATGGCTGGTCCCAGCAGCAGGAGCCCTCTAGGGTCTATGCCATCGATCCGACGAGGCAAGCGCAAAGCAAACACGCGTGCTTCAAGCAGGAAGCTCGCGAAGCGAAAGGTCTCATCCAGTGGGGGAGATATCGCCGATCCAGACTGGAGGAGAGATGTTGCCGCGTCCGAGGCCCCATATGCCGCGGCCAATGCTGCAGCCGGGGCCGTGCCCTACGCTGAAGTGGGTCTACCATCTCTTCGTGGGCTGTTCCTCTTCAAGGTCCTCTACCGTCGCCATGTTGCTATCCACAAGGGATGGATGCAGCCGGATGTCAAACCGCAACATATCGCTTTCCGCGCTCATGACCGCCATGTTGTTACTTGTCTGCAATTTGATGCTGACAAGGTTCTTACGGGAAGCGATGACACCAACATCAACGTGTACGACACTAAGACAGGTGCGTTGCAGGCAACATTGGAGGGCCACGAAGGTGGTGTGTGGGCTCTTGAATACTATGGCAACACGCTAGTCTCCGGCTCCACTGATCGCTCAGTGCGTGTCTGGGACATTGAGCGGGCTAGGTGTACTCAGATCTTCCACGGCCACACCTCCACCGTCCGATGCTTGCAAATCGTCCTGCCTACCGAAGTCGGTAGGGATGCAGATGGTAAGCCTGAGATCATGCCTAAAGAACCATTGATCATTACTGGGTCTCGTGACTCGAACCTTCGGGTGTGGAAACTTCCCAAATCCGGTGACCCAGTCTACTATCAGAGTGGTCCTACAGTGGATGACGCTAGCTGTCCATACTTCATGCGTGTGCTCTCCGGCCATCAGCACTCTGTTCGTGCAATTGCAGCCCACGGTGATACCCTTGTGAGTGGTAGCTACGATTGCACGGTGAAGGTCTGGAAGATTTCCACCGGACAGACTTTACACACACTGCAGGGTCACTCGATGAAAGTCTACAGTGTGGTTCTTGACCATAAGCGCAATCGTTGTATCAGTGGAGCCATGGACCACATGGTCAAGGTGTGGTCACTAGACGATGGAGCCGTTCTATACAACCTCGAAGGCCATACCTCCCTTGTTGGTCTGCTCGCTTTAGAGCATGATTTCCTTGTCTCGGCTGCCGCTGACTCCACTCTCCGAATCTGGGATTCCGTGCACGGCCACTGCAAGAACACCTTGAGTGCACACACCGGTGCCATCACCTGCTTCCAGCATGATGGGCAGAAGGTCATCTCCGGGTCTGATCGTACGCTGAAGATGTGGGATGTGCGAAACGGCGAGTGTGTTCGAGACCTCCTCACAGACCTCAGTGGTGTGTGGCAAGTCAAGTTCAATGACCGCAGATGTGTTGCTGCAGTGCAGCGTGACAGCTTGACTTACATCGAAGTAAGTGTTCTCTGATGATGTTTTCCGATTCTTTATGCTAATATTGCTTCCACCCAGGTTCTCGACTTCGGTGCTGCACGGGATGGAGTCCCAGAAAGCAAACTTGCGAAACGTATTGTTGTCAACCGACGTGGGCAGGAGATCCTCGGCGGAATCGAAGATGACGATGACTTGTCTGATTGAGATGGCTAGGCTGCATTTCCCTCTTCGACCTCTATCTCGACATCCGACAACCTTCTTTCTCCCCATACCACTTCATTTCTTCTGTCTTTTATTCTCTTCTCACTATTCCCCCTTCACGATACCCATCCTTACAGCTCTCGTCTTCCATCGGAACAAATATCCTTTGCATAGCGCGGTCGGCATTATTTGGTCTTGCAACATTACGACAAGGGGCCAGGCGTTTTTCTTTTTTATCTTCCATATTTTTTCCATCATCTTTTATGTGGAGGTCCCCGAATATTGTCATTCAATGCATCCTCTCATCGATACGTTTTCTTTGTCTTTGCCTGATGCGTATTTGACTTCCCATTCTGTTGCCTGCCAAATCGGTGACATTGCCTTCTGATGTTCTTTTACATATTTTTCGCCTTGTTTTGTCCGTACGGACTGCTCATAATAGATTGATTATCTACAATCTTTATCACAAATTCTGTCATATACTAGGTTGGTGTGTAGGTTTATTGTAACTGCATTTGGTAGGTATAGTATTCTGCTTACAGCAGCTGGCTCTACATAGCGAAGCATTCAAATGCTTCGAACATGAACCATATTATTATCTGGTGGTCTAGGTATGCTGTCGTAGACCCATGTCGGCTAGTTCGGGATCGCGTACGATAACCAGTCCGATTGGAGGATTGGCTATCATGCTCAAACAAAGCCATATACTTCAATCCTCGCCCCAGAAAAGGAAGAAAAAGTTTCTCATCTCTGGCCCATAGATATGCATGCCCTCGGGGAAGGGCTGATCAGACGTGACTAGCCAACTACGGAGTCAAGTCTAAAAAACTCGACGATAATTTCGAATCCGGACAATACGACATGTTCTTTCACGACAAAGTAGCCGGGGTCTCTGCAGGAGTCGGTACAGCGAGTCGACCACCCTGCAAACTCCCATCAATGCCAGCAGCAGACAAAATTGACCAGCGAACAGCGTCGATCCCTAGCGCCCGGCCAGGACCAATCGTTGCCTCAGCACTACAAGTCAAAATCTCACCTAAAGACCCAGGCCCCTCCGAAGCCCGCGGATCCGGCTGCACAAGAGGTTTGATACCCCGAAGCAAGAGCTGTAGTCGCTCGATATTGGCAGACGTGACTCCAGTCTTCATCTGCTTCATTTTCCTAACGAGGAACTTATCGACCTTGGATAGAATGATCTGGTGCGGGATTGCGTGGTGTCGGAATAATCTGAGAATTTCAGCGTCTGTTTGCTTGATTCCGTGCGTACTGTCGATGAGAAGGTATGCGCGACGGAGTCTGGAATATCTTCGTCAGTGATTGTACATCATGAATGGGTATTTCATGCCAATGGAAAAGGCCATAACGCACTGTTTCCGTCCCTGGAGATACTTCATAATCTCCGCTCCCCACTCAGACCGACTCGCCTTTCCGTATCCCGGCATATCAAGCAAGACAACCTTCGACTCGCCGCCCTTCGTACCTCCAATCCCGAACGCGTTCATTTCCCTCGTCCGGCCCGGTTTAGACGATGTCCAGCAGATCTCCTGTCCCATTATTGCGTTGAGTAGTGAGCTCTTGCCGACATTAGAGCGGCCCAGGAATGCGACTTCGGGCTCGACTGATGCGAATGGTGTTGTGCGGAATTTGGCCGCGGACCAGAGTTTCAGCGGTGAGTGACGCGACGGTGTAAAGACTTTATCGGCGAAGGCTAGTTGTTCCTCTTTGGGGGGCCTTGTATCCCAGTAGTAGCAGAGGTCGGTTGTGGTGAGGTCTTTGAGCTCGCGCTTTGAATTTGGATTCGAGGAGGATAGGGCTCGTATTGTTGTATATAATGATATCCTGGATGCAGGGTTCCTGCATTTTGGTATTGAGTTCATCATGACTCTTAGATACCAGAAAAGGTGTTGATAAAAAGCCAAATAAAAAAAAGTAGAGTTGATATCGATTTCTCCAGATCGGCGCACGGGGCAAGTCTCCCGAGCCAAGACCGCATCATCAGCTATCGCATCCAGATAAGACTGACCTTCTCTCTATGTTCCAGACACACAAGTCAAGATGATCAACGCAGTCCTCGTCTTCAATAATAATGGCCAGCCCCGACTGACCAAGTTCTACACACAGCTGGTGAGTCGACCGCACTCACACCAACGCCGCACAGGACAACCCCAACTAACCCCCGAGACAGGACACGCAAACCCAGCAATCCCTGATCGCGCAAATATACCATCTAGTCGCCCAGCGTCCAGCAAGTGCATGCAACTTCCTCCCGCTCCCTCCTCTCCTCTCGCAAGGCGCTAGCTCCTCCGCCTCCGGGCCCTCCGATGCCCCCACCCAAATCACATACCGGACCTACGCAACGCTGTCATTCATTATGATCTCTACGTCCACAGAGTCCCCGCTTGCTCTGATCGATCTGATTCAGGTATTTGTCGAGGCGCTGGATCGCATGTTCGAGAACGTCTGCGAGTTGGATCTTATCTTTGGGTATGAGACACTGCATGCTGTGCTCGGGGAGATGATTGTTGGTGGTGTTGTGGTGGAGACGCATATCGAGAAGATTGTTGCTGGTGTGCGTGCTCAAGAGGGATCGCTGGGTAAGAAGAAGGCTGTTCAGGCTGCTAGTACTAGTTTGGGTCGTGGGGCTTTGCCTGGGTTGGGGGCGTGGAGGTGATCTATAGATGATAGATGCTTTATCTTTTTATGAGCTGCATATTGATGGATCTGTGGACTATTGCGTCCGGTTTGGTCTATTCAAGGCGTTCTGGTTACGCATTCTAGACTTGCTTTCGGAAAATTTGGGGGTGCTATTTTAGACTTCCGGTTATTGATGCCTTTAATGATATATTGAGTGATGTGATTGTACATTGCGAAGTTTTGTAAAGCCACATACTCGAATTTTCTTTACTTCAGATGTAGGAAACAAAAGCGGGCATCTCGCTCTAGTAGTGCGGTCATATCCCAAAGGGTGATGAGTTTCGACTAACCATTCTCGTTGCAACTGACGAATGTTATGGTGCTGTTTGGCCAATCCTTAGCCACCGGTGCTTTTCCTCTGAACGAGATTGATCGAGGGAGTCACAGTGACTGGGGTGAGTTCATTGTAATTCAATATATCGCAATCGAGGCAGATTTGCTGTTCTTCGTATGGATTCCCATGTAGGTATAGTCTGTACTTCCAGATCAATTTTTCTGAACCGGTTGCTATCAGCCATGTTTGCTGCATTCCCAAACCTTTCTATAGATAATCAAAGGCATAGCAGCCATAAACCAATCATCCACCATTTGATAGGTCTGCGCTTAGTTTTTAGAGAATGTGTTGGCATGATGGTGGTTTCCTGATCGACACAGGGTACCGTTGGAGAAACAAACGTAGAGGGCATTGCGGGCAATAAACACGGTGAAAAAGTGCGTGGTATACCTGAAGGCTTAAAACCGGGTATCAGGCTTCTTCGAGCACATGAGTTGGCAAATTGAAATCCTCGAGCCATTTTGTAACCACTCGCGGCGCTTTATTCGTAGAAAACCAGAGATCATACGGCATAGGGTCAGCGATAGCTTGATGAATGACTCCATGCCACGACTAGGCTGAAGGTAGACATGCTGCTGTCACAACATGTGCCTAGCCTACCATACCACACACCCACTAACTTGCGTCATAATCCCTAGCGCGGTGTCCTTCTGACTTGTACGCAAGTACCTAAAAAAAATGTGAGCATCCTATCATCCAACCAAGCAACTAACGAAGTGGTTGTTGAGTCCGGGTACTCAAGCTCGGGTAGTCTTTATATACTCTTCAAGCGACTTCTCTGCTTTTTTGACATGTCTGAATCGAGAAGTCTGGCTTATCGACTATATTGCGCTTTGAAAGGGAATTATTCGAGCAAGGAGAGATAGGGAAGGTTTAACGTTTTCGGAGTTGCTTTAGCCCTCAGAAGATCTCAATCATGCTCTGATGATGCCTGAGTTTTTAATGGTGATGGAAATTCATGGGCCCTCCTCTTTGTGATGTGCAGTCCGCGTTTGGAACAACTTGGTATAGTTCACGTGGAACTTGCCATTTTGCATGACAAGGGTCTTCGGGTGATATTGGTGGGCCGTTGGTATTGCTCGACTCAGTACCTGGGCTATGAACACCGACGGGCAATCCGGCCACAGACTGGACTAAATTGCGCCAGCTTAATTCCGAATTTGGCCATAGCTGCGAGGTGAATGCTTTCTGGCTTGCGCGTTCAAGCGATCCTTCCACTCCTTGCAGGTGTATCCCTGCACGGTCTGCTATACTGCGGTACATGACTGGTTTCCGAAGCTCTAAAAGCAGCATCCAATCACCATGTATAGATCGATGGACATCGTAGGAATCTTACCAGGTGTGGAGTAGTACAGCGCTTTGACCAATCCAGAGTATGTATCGGGAGTAAGGCTGATTTGCATACTGATCAGCATACTATGAAGAGAATACTATATTTTGACATTGGTTGAATTTGAAGATTGTTACTAAATAAATTCAAGAGTTGCAAGATTAGAAAACTATCGTTACTTTGGAGATTATGATTATTGAGGAAGTTACCCGCCATCGCTCCTGTCTCAAAAAAGATGCCCGGTGTCATGTGACTTCTACCACATGGTTACGGAAATTTGCCCTAACGGGTAGCCCTAGCCCTGGTCACATGAGCGCGCTAGCGCGACCCACAGAAACTTCATAAGTTGCATCCACACGAACTTTCTCCTTTCTCATCCGTCAACCGTCAATCAGCGCAATCCCAGTCGACAAAATGGTGGTGAGTACATAAAATGTCTCTTGATAACAGAGGCCTCTTCTAGTTCTCTTGCGATGTCTCACGACATTCGCTTTGCTTCAGATCTCTGATCTAAGCAATTCCGCCGATCGCGCGCAGCCTCGAAAGAGATGTGTCGCGATCGTGTGATGATTTTGGCTGGAAGCATGGAGTCAATGCCCGTAACACGGCTTGGCTCATGTTCTCCTTAGAGTTCAAAGAAGATGCAGCACTATGTGAACAGCACGCTGATCTTCTTTCCTCAATGATAGCCTCCTACTAAGTCCGGAAAGAAGACCGCCGCTCTGCCCTACCCCCAGGGCAAGGCTGGCGCTGGCAAGAAGGCCGCCAAGGTTCGTTTTCTCTCTTTCCCCTTAGGAGTGCATTGAGTTCTGAAGATGCTAACCTTTCGCACACAGAACCCCCTTATCGAGAAGCGCACTCGCAACTTCGGTATCGGCCAGGACATCCAGCCCCGTCGCAACCTCTCCCGCTTCGTCAAGTGGCCCGAGTATGTCCGTCTTCAGCGCCAGAAGAAGATCCTGAACATGCGCTTGAAGGTTCCTCCTTCAATTGCTCAGTTCCAGGCTACTCTCGACCGCAACACCGCTGCCCAGACCTTCAAGCTCCTCTCCAAGTACCGTCCTGAGACCAAGGCCGAGAAGAAGGAGCGTCTCGTCCAGGAGGCTACCGCCGTCGCTGAGGGCAAGAAGAAGGAGGATGTCTCCAAGAAGCCCTACAACGTCAAGTACGGTCTCAACCACGTCGTCGGACTCGTTGAGAACAAGAAGGCTTCCCTCGTCCTCATCGCCCACGATGTTGACCCCATTGAGTTGGTTGTCTTCCTGCCCGCTCTCTGCCGCAAGATGGGTGTCCCCTACGCCATTGTCAAGGGCAAGGCCCGTCTCGGCACAGTCGTCCACAAGAAGACCTCCGCCGTTCTCGCCCTGACCGAGACCCGCGCTGAGGACAAGGCCGAGTTCGCCAAGCTCCTCTCCGCCATCAAGGAGGGTTACACCGACAAGAACGAGGAGTCCCGCCGCCACTGGGGTGGTGGTATCATGGGTGCCAAGGCCAACGCCCGCATCGAGAAGAAGCAGAAGGCTCTCGACGCCGCCATCAAGGTTTAAATGCTTGTGTAACTACAGCTTTTTTTCCTTTGATATCTGTTTGACGGGATCGTTTTCTAATCGAAGCGCTCGGATCTCAAAAATAATATGTTATGGGGAACAACAAGGTGTTCAAGGCTTTGACGATCTATTGATGGCCACTTTAGCTTTAGATGGGTGCGAAAGAGCCCTTTGGCCCTTTTTGGATCCTGTTCTAACAAAAAAGACACATTTTTTCCCTCACGAACTCCAATGGCCCTATGTACCAACTTTTCTGCAGATACCCATGAATGCATTTCTTACCTGTTCAATCTATTGATGGTCTTTGTAGTCCCATCAGAACTAGGCATTCATGTCGTCTGCATGTATTTGTAGTGTATCTTGTAAATTGTAGTTTGTACTAGTCTGTGCGAGAGAGCTCATATGTACAAATAGATAAATCTCGATCATTCTTATCGAAATTTTCTCCCCTTCGGACCTGTGTGGCCTGTGTGGGATGTGACATCTGCCAAGAATACCAAGTCTTTTCTAAAAGATAGTTCCGTCTTGGCACATATCTTAAAAGACCTCTACATACTTCTATCAAATAGTATTCTATTGAAGAAACAGACCATATGGTCGTTTTTTAAGGCTTGAAGAATTGAAGACCAGCTAGGCTATATATATTCATGGATGTTAGGTGAGATTGAGGGGTAATTTCCCCCTGGATAACATATTCAGTACATACAACATTGCATATATATAGATACAAGAATATCCATATCTCACACAAAATGATCTAAAACTGATTTCCGTTGGAATCATACGCGTCATGGACTTGCTGTCTGGCATCGTACTTGGCCCGTTCCCTATCAACAAAGTCTAATCCTCTGGACTCAACCTCACGATCGACAAAGGCACCAGCAAATCCAGCAAGGATCTCCTTGGCCTTTGCGTGGCTGTCGGGCTCGCCTAAGATCACAAAGAAGTATTAGTCTTTATATACTCCTAGGCTTGGCTCTATTCATCGAATGATCAAAAGCGGGAATGGGGAGGGGTTGATACCGTTCTGAGCAACGTGGTTCTCGTAGGCCTTGGCTGCCTCGTAACTAGCAGCACCGGCGATCAGCTCATGGATTACGGATGGATCGTGTTCTGGCTGATCGTTGTAGGTGTTGTAGGCCTGAGCCTGGTTGGAATCGTCTAGGGAGATGTGAGTGGAAGGTATCAAGGGAGTATAAAGGGGATACTCACCACTGAACCAGCCCATTTTGAATTGGATTGTTAAGAAAAGTGGTAAGAGAGTGGGAGAGAGAGAGAGAGAGAGAGAGAGAGAGAGGAAGAGGGGTAGTGTAGTGGGTTTTATACTAGTGTCTGCCACATTTATCACACCATTGAGGGGCATATTCGGAGTTATATCTACACAAGATGATATACATGTAAAATGACCACAGAGGGAGAAATAGGATATAACAAATGGCTTTACACCCTCAGACCTAAATGCCAAGAGTGAGAAGGATAAAAGACAAGGTATGAAATTACAGGGAGATCCAGAGGTCGGCCAAAGCATTAAAAAAAAAAGTACAAAGAAACCCCAAAGCCCTAGCCTTATACCCCCAGAAGACCAGAGATGCTCACCGATCTCTTTTTCTTTCCAATATGAATGACACTGAGAAACCCCGTCTAAAGACACAAGTTGAAGCAAGAAGCAAGCGAAAAAGGTGTATAGTGTGAAGGACGAGACATAAACGTAATCGCGGTCATTTGGTCATTAACGTTGGGGAGGTCGTGAAAGCCCTTGGCGTACCTGTATATTCTTGTTAGCCAGTTCAGACATACGTAAATAATAATCACCCACCTTCATTTGTTCAATTCTCGCCTTCAGTTGGCTGGTGACTTCTGCGGCTCGCTTCCAGTTCTCTGCCGGTTCGGAAGACCTGGGCTGCTGGTCGTCTTCGGGGAAATGTGCACTGGAGTCTCGGGTTGAGCGTGTGGGACTACCAACGGCCGAGTAACCGTATGTAGGGCTCAAGTTGCGTCGGCCAAGGCCGCCATTGCGACTGCTGAGTCCTGGTGATTCCATGCCGCTGGGCTCCTTCTCCTCGCTGGGAGTAGCAGAGGCGTAGCTTCGAGGACGCGAGCTTTCGAAGCGGGATCCCATGTGAAGACCAGATCGTGCAGCAGCATTGCTGTTGCTGATGTGGTCTTGATACATGGAGTTTGTGTCCGGCATGCCCATGCTTCCAGCGTCGGAGGTAGCGTTAGGTGGGCTTATGGCAGACGCGCGAAGTGCTCGTGCGAGTTCACGCTTCAATCTTTCGATCTCTCGCTGCTGTTTTTGAACACTCCCCTCTGCAGTTTCCGCGTCACTCCGTGCTCGAACAAGTTGTGTCTCTTTCGCCTTGATGCTCAAGACATCGCGGGTGTGGTCTTCAATCAGCTGTGCATTCTGGTTCTGAAGTTCAGTGATCGTTGAGTTGAGCCTTGAACGCTCAGACTTCATATCCTCCACCGTTCGGTATAAGTTCTCTTTCTCCGCCCGCAGTTCTTCCAATTCGGCACGCTTCACCTTATCCGCCCGTAATTCCTCCAACTCAGCACGGTCGGCAGCTGCCATAGCATTGGCGGCAGGTTCAGCAGGCGCCGACGGTCTGGCAATGGGCCGACCCGCAAGGCCACGACCAAGACCGAACTTGGGAGCAGCCGGCGGGGGAGCCACATCCTCCTCTGGGGGTGCAGCAACTCGCCTTGATGGCGACGCAGTGGTTCCGGGGCCAGCAAGTTTCCGTTGCAGCTTGAGAGCGGATCCAGGAGTTGCAAGACCGGGCTTGGGAGCACCGAGCTTCGAAGGGATTCCTCTGGATACAGGTTTGACCGGGGGTTCTTCTGGGGCAGGTGGAGCGGCTACAGGGGCTAGTTTTTTCAGTCCCGTTGCCGGCGGCCTCTTGCCAACGACCTTCCTGGCAGCCGGGGCAGCGGGCTTTGGGGGTGCCACAATAGCCTTGGGTCGCTCCTTGGCCTTGACTTCGGCGGTTCCGAAGTACTCTTTGATTTTGGTTTTACGAATCTCGTCAAGGCCATCGAGATACGGGTTCATGGCCCGTTCACCCAGAATCTTCATTAATGTACCCAGAATTTCAGCAGCTCCTTCGCGGATTGCCGGGGCTGACTCGGTCAATAGCTTTGTGCCGGCATCGGCGATCGCTTTTTGCTCTGCCTTGGCTGGTACCGTCCGGGTTGTGCGCAAGCAACGAACCAAGAACTTGACAGTTTCCTGCTTGATCTGTGGGTTCTTGTGCTTGAGATACTCGAAGATTTCCTCCAGGCAGTCCGTAAGGGTTGTGGTTGTGAAGACAGCATCCAACGCCTGGCCCAAAGCATCTGCCACAGTCGTCTTCTTTTCTTTCAGACGTTCAAACATGGGCGCCATAATGACGCTTCGGTATTTGGTAAATCCGTTGCGAAGGCCCCTGGCCAACACGTCCACGCAGTTCGCAGCTACCGTGGCGACAGCGACGTTAGCGTCCTTCATAGATTTGGCCAATCCCCGCACGATCTCATCGTAGGGTGCGTCCTTGATTCGGGGAACGTTGATAACGTTATAGAGAGCGTCCAACGCTTCCTTGCGGTCCTTCCATTTCGACGAGGCCAATTGATCATGGAAGTTGTCGGGGATTTTCTTCACGACATCAACCGGCTCCGCCAGGTCGAAGGCATCAACCACCACCCCATCCTCCTCCTCATCAAAATCATCGCCGACTGGTTCGTCACCCTCCTCGCCTGCCGGTGCAGCACTGGCCGCCGCCATGGCATCTTGTTGTGCTCGAGTGAATCGCTCTTGCTTCGGCGTGGGGTCCTGCTTCACAGCTTCGAATAGTTTCTCTAAATCTCCCTGTTGTACAGGTTTCAATTCGGCCCAGAACAGAGGCTTTATGGCCTCCCGAAGCCACCGATAGAGTTCCACGGTCAGATTTTGTGCTTCCGCGCGGACATTTTTATCGGCATGACCAAAAACCTTGGTCAGTGCCTTCAACGTTTGCTTCGGGTCGACGAGCTTGCAGCCGAAGTTGTGATAAATGAGGGTCAAGGCTGCGAGAGTGGCGGCGACCACCTTGGGTACTTTGTGTGATAGTATGGGTAGTAGTTCCTCGATCACCGGATCGGCCTTGTCCACTTCGACGCATAATAAAAGCGCTTCCTGGGCGCTAGCTTTACCGGCCGGTCGTGTAGATGGGAGACCTTTCTCAGCAATTGGTCCAATTGTATATGCGCGGGATCTATAAATGAGAATATTGTCAGTGGATTCGGGCGCGACCAAGAAGACCGTCGTGACTAGGACCGGGGGTTGACGCACCTGGTGCAGGCCTGGGCTCCTCCGAATTTCAGAAAGGCGCAGTATGCTGCAAGACCTTCTGACTGTGCTGCGACGTTGGAATCTGCCACCGCCCCTTTCCACAGACCGGGATCTTGTATGAATGGTACGAAGACTGGGTGTGATTCATCGGGGGTCTTTTCAAATTGCGCTTTCGCATCTTCGTATCCCTCCTTTCGAACTTTCCAGTTCTGTATATGGTTAGACTTTTCAGTGATCCTATCGATCGGACTGGTTGTCCAGGAATGAGCGCACCTTGTGAGCGAACCGGTCGGGCAAGGATAAGGAGGAGAAGTCCTCTGTGGCTTCAGCCATTCTGACGGGCGAACGGAGAACTATCAACGGATTCTGGGGACGAAAGGAGTCAGCACGTTCTGCAGTGTCCGATCAGAACTGCGCATTGCATCAAAGCAGGTTCCGAAAGATATAAAAGGTTTCTGAGTTGGTCGCGGCGGGGGTGTCTCGGGGGTGGGTTCAGATGGGCGTACTGTGTTGGGTGCCCAAAGGGTGTCAAAGACCTGTTTGTCTTGATCAATAAGACAGTGTGATATTGATTAGAACATGAATATGCAAGTCAAAGTATCAAATGTACATTGACAGGGGGTGGAGGTATTAGTCGAAACGGGGTCAAAAAGAAAATAAACAGTTGGAAGTTGAAGAGAAAGTAAACAAAAGCCTTGGCAGATTGTTTTGTTAAATCCCCCGCGGTGGATCACAACTTCATATTTATCTTTCTCTTCTCTTTTTCTGTTTCTTCTACTTCTCTTGGATCAATTCGCCAATTCGCAAACTCTCCAGCTCGAGAACCCCTCGTCTCCCCTTTAATTCGACACTGCCGCTTCCCCCTCCATCGAATTCCGGTGTATGCGCATTTGGATTAGGGAGAATAGAGAGCACACATAACGCCATGAGCCAACTTCTTACGTCGCGACAGGCGGAGGAGCTGTATGTGACCCGACCTGCTTCATTTAGGGGTGATCGCTGATGGTGTTTCGCGACAGACATAAAGGAATAATCGCCTACCTCACCTCTGTGAATTTGCACCACAGCTCCGCCGCTTTACGAGAAGAACTAGGCGACTCGATCAGAGTCGACGAGACCACACTAAAGAAATATGAAGGGCTATTGGAAAAGAAATGGACGAGCGTAGTCCGGTTACAGAAAAAGGTGCGAAGATCAACACCACAACACAAGCCTTCCTCGTGTTAATATGACATTCTGATATAGATTATGGACTTGGAAGCACGATGCGCTGCACTCCAGTCTGAGTTGGACACCGCAACCCCGACTTCTCTGAATCGCAAAAATCAAGACCCAGTCTCCTGGCTGCCTCGAGCACCAGCGCGCCACGACCTCCAATCGCACCGCTCGCCAGTATCGTGTCTCGCTTTCCATCCAATATTCTCTTCATTGGCCTCCGGTTCAGATGATACCACAATCAAGATTTGGGACTGGGAGTTGGGCGAACTAGAGCGCACAATCAAAGGACATACCAGGGCAGTGCTAGACGTCGATTATGGAGGACCGCGCGGAGGCACACTTCTTGCATCATGCTCGTCAGATCTGACGATCAAATTGTGGGACCCGGCTGATGAGTATAAGAACATCCGAACGCTACCAGGACACGACCACAGTGTTTCAGCAGTTCGGTTCATTCCATCCGGAGCTGCAGGATCTCCAATGTCAGGAAACCTGCTAGTTTCAGCTTCTCGCGATCTCACACTGCGCATATGGGACGTCACAACTGGATATTGTGTCAAATCGATGCAGGGCCATGGAGACTGGATTCGAGATGTTACACCATCCCCAGACGGCCGGTTCCTCTTCTCTGGTGGAGATGACCGAGTTGCACGTCTGTGGGATATCTCTTCGGGTGACACCAAGTCAACGTTCCTAGG